TATATTTGATATTTATATTTTCATTGAATTTGGGGAAACCACTTGAAGCATTCGTCTATTTCAATTGCTTTAGTTTGTTTTGTTCAGTGCAAACAGCAGAAAAGTCTGAAAATGTGTACAATAAACCTGATTTGCAATGGTGTGTGTGTTTGTGTGGGGGGTGTGTGTGTGTGTGGGGGGGGGGTGCTCAGGGGTTAGTCTTTTTGATTGCAACTCTAAGTGTGTTTTGAGTAAACGGGCTTTCCTTTCTCAGTACAGGACACTACAGATCCCGCTAGAGATTAGTCTGCTTCCATTAGAGTCTCGGTGGAAAAAGGTCTTATCTGTGAGTAAGTCTACAAGTTCCTGAATTTGGTGAGAAGACGTGCGTGTGTGCATGCGCGTGTGCGCTGGCGAGGGACTAAAAGACAGTGGAGGAAAATTGCTTCTCTAGCTCTTCTCTTTACAAAGAATTTTTTTTTCAACCTCCACTTTTGCCCTTGCAGCTTAACTTACAAACAATAGGACACGTTTAAGAGAGTGTGTGTGTGTGTGTGTGTGTGTGTGCGGGCATGTTTGCCAACATGTGTTTCATATTTCCTTCGCGAGCACATTTGTTTTGCAAACAAAACAAATACTGAATGGCACCTGATGGAGGCGCTGTGGGTCTTTACCCAAGCCTTAATCTTTCCTCCACTCTTCCTTCTCCCTCTGCCTTTCCTTCATTATCATCCCGTCCTCTTTCACTCTTTCTCTTTTCCTCTTTCGTGCTTGTCTGTTCACAACATGCCACTTCTCTTGATCTAGCTTCTTGGTGCTGTGTCACACAAAAATAAAACTGCAAATAATAAATCAGTTTTAATGTGAGGTTTTGTTCCGTATGGTCATCCATCTGGATCAGAATAGATGCATTGATTGTGTGTGTGTGTGTGTGTGTGTGTGTTGCTGTTTGGGCTCACTGTCAAAATGGCACTCGTTAAAAGCCCATCAGAGCACCACACATTTGTGGTTGTTGAAATCTAACGAATCCAAACTTTATTTGTGTCATGCTGTACTGGCACTCAAGTGTCAATCAACCCTTAATGCTATCAGATTGGAGCTTAAAACCAAGCTGGGCTGGGGTGTGGAACTTGATGTGGGACTTATGGGGATGCATGTACGAGTTATTGCAAGGACAAATGTGTGTGTGTGTGTGTGTATATATATATATACATACATATATATATATATATATATATATACATATATATATATATATATATATATATATATATATATATATATATATATATATACATATATACATATATATATATATATATATACATATATATATATATATATATATATATATTACACACACACACACACACACACACACACACACACACAATGGGCATACCCAGACTCATTTTGATTGGCAGGTTCTCTTTACTGGCCGCCTCCACGAGCTGCCTTCTCACCTCCATCACCGCCTCCTTCTGCTTAGCGACGAGCATCGTCTCCCATAGCGACCGCGCTACGGCAGACCTGTGGAGCAGAGGTCGAAAGAGGTCAATTGCGGGTGAACATGGGTCAGTAATAACTCTGGCTCAGCCCTGGAAATAATACAGTTTCATTGTGCAGTGGAGCAAGAGGCCAGGGTGGGCTGGGCTTACATGAGTAAACTCCTCCTTCTCACAGCTCCAGGTTGATATGATTGGCTGAAGACATTTATTTGATTTCCCTCCCAAAGACAGAACTAATGCTACTGTGCATTTCACTACTGGCGAAGAGGCACGCCCGTAGCAGCCACGCCCACTCGTTGAGTCAAAACAAAGAGCTCTGTTCTCCTCAAAGACTGGCCCAAATTGTGCTTGAAGACTGCATTTCTAGTGAAACTAATTAGTCCTGTTATCAGAATCGTTCTTCTATTTAAACCTCGACGAGAATATACAATCTCGCCAAGGGATCACTTTCGTTTACTTTCATTTACTTGATCAGACGACATGAAAATTCACATCTGCCCTTATTCAAGCTTCTTCTGGCTAGACTTCTACAATCTTAATATATTTTATTGTCTTGAACATTTCAGCATAGAATTTGCAAATACTATGGACATCTGTAGTATATTTTAAAGTTGAGTTCTGTTGAGGGGCAGTAGTGGCTCTGGGTTACTGATCGGAAGGTCGGAGGTTCAAGCCCCAGCACTGCCAAGCTGCCACTGTTGGGCCCTTGAGCAAGGCGCTGAACCCTCTCTGCTCCAGGGGCGCCATATCATGACTGACCCTGCACACTGACCCCAACCCGGGATACTGTATGTGTAGAAAATAATTTCACTGTGCTGCAATGCAAAGACTTTTAGAGTAAAGACTCAATAAAGACTCATTATAATTATCATGTTGATAGAAAAGTGCCATCAAAAGAGTGGAACCATCCATCCATCGTCTGTGCCGCTTATCCCGCGCAGGGTTGCAGTGAACCCACTCACGCACACCCATTCACACTATGGACAATTTGGAAACGCCAATCAGCCTACAACGCACGTCTTTGGACCGGGGGAGGAAATTGGAGTACCCGGAGGAAACCCCCTGAGGCGCAACGAGAACATGCAGACTCCACTCGCACAGGGCGGAGGCATGAATAAAAACCCCCCACCCTGAAGGTGTGAGGCAAACGTGCTACCTAATCAGCCACCATGCCCCTGACCATCTTATTCCCATTTATTTACTTAAAACAAATAAATAAATAAATTTACCGTGAATAACAATGGACAGATGAAATCACTGACACTTGACGATAATCAGAAAAGTATTTTACGCATGCATATATCGATATCGTACTGTCCTATCATCAAGCCTGTATGCAAAAGGAGGTCAAACCTCCTAACCTGATCCTGATTTCTGATCCGTTGATCATTAAAGCTTTGGGGGAAAATTAAACGTGTTAATTAAAATTAAACATGCCTGATACGAGTAATACACCACCTTCACTGCACACTCACTACAAACATGTAGAAACGTAAAGCTGTGGTAATGCACAGCACACTGGCTATTAGTCATGAACTCACCTAAGGTCAAGGGTCATTTCAGCCATTCCAAGAACAGAATATTGGGAAAACATACATGTATGTGTGTATGTGTGTGAGAAGGAAGGGTTTTATTTTTATTTGTTGCGAACTAAATGTTGCATAACCCATTACCGTCCAGTCCGCTGCAGTTCACGGTCATAGTTCATATGGGAAGATCTGACCACATGGATACAAGCAAATCAATCCATGATGTCTTTTCTCTTATTCCTACTCCAGACATAATGTGTGTGCATGGGCTTATGTATAGCCAGTCATATTGCAGTTCACACTATTACAGAGAATGTGCAATAATGTGTAAAAGAGAGAGAGAGAGCGAGAGAGAGAAAGAGAGAGAGAGATGATGAAGAAGGAGAAAATGAGAATAAGAGATCAACCAATGTATGAAGTTAGGAGAAAAAGTGAGGGTGTGTGATGTCAGATGGAGAGCAGGAAACCAAGAGAACAAGAAAAAAAAGAAAAAGAAAAAAACCCCCATCACGAGAAGGACGAAGGCGAGTGGCGCATGCGGGGGTGTCTCACTGACACACAGCCCAAACGTTGAATCGCCTATGTTTTTCTTTTTCTCTCCCCTCCACCCCTCTCTCTCTTTCTCTCTAACTGTTGCCATGTGTTGCATCTCAGTTGTAATATGTTCCAGACGGGGTCCTGGCAGAAAGACCCCGACTCCACCAAACTCCATCACTCCCAAAAAACGAGGCTAAATAAGCAAAGAAAGAGGGACAAAAGTTGAGTGGGTTGGAGCTGGACTTGGTTTTTTTTGTCTATTGTGAACTTACTCAAGAGAAGTTTTGAGAAGCGTCACATTGTGTCAGCTGACTCAGCTTTTACTCTGTGGAGAGAGAGGGGGGAATGAAGGCTTCTGCAAAAAGCCCCCCCCCCAACCGCCTGTGTATGCTGGTGTATATAGTATCCACGCGTGTAAGTATTGTGGTGTCCGGTGTAATGACTCTGCATGTCACACGCAGATGTACACATAGTCGGCGTGGTTCAAATACCAGAGTTAAGACTGGACCCTGTGTATATGTGCGGCAGTGTGTGTGTGGGTCCGAGCGTGTTTTCCAGGAAGGCGAGGGGTCCAGATGCAACGCAATATGGTTCCAATTTACCCCCAAAAATCTGTCCTTTTCCCTCCTTCCATCCCCCATTTCTTTCAACGGTTTTCACCAGGCTACACGGCTCGGCCATGGGGATAAATGAGTAAGTGTGTGTGTGTGTGTGTGTGTGTGTGTGTGTGTGTGTGTGTGTGTAATGTTAAGACTGTTTTCTGTGAAAACATCAAAATGTTGAGTCAAGTATTTCCACCCTTTTCTTTCTTTCTTAATTTTGTCCCTTATTCATCTGTGTGTATGTGTGAGTGTGTGTGAAGAGAGAGAGAGAGAGAGAGAGAGAGAGAGAGAGAGGCAGAACATTGTGTGAGAAGGGGGGCGGGGGGCTTCTCAGTTGAACTCTTCCTGGAAATCCATGACCGAGCAGTAAAGAATGAGATCTAACTTGACTAAATATTCCTGAAACCCATCAAATCCTCAGCCCACGCATGCAGATGTATACACACATCCACGGAGTCATCACACACTCATTCATAAACCCAAACTGACCTGTGACAGAGCTGCAGCTGGAACACGGCGAACAGGGGGTACACCCAGGGTTTGTGGGGCGCAAACAGGGGTCAGGAAGGACAAGGGCTATTTTAGAACATGACAAAGTCCAGATCGGCGTTTATATTGAGCAAACCGTTCCTAAACGCCGAAACACTGTACAAACCGCACCGCTTCCACACCACAGATATGGAGACCGCTTCTCTTTTAAAGGAACCTCTACTCACGTTCTACAGACAGGACAAGAAGTATAGAGACATGTTTGTCAGGAGTTTTTATTTTATTTTTTATAAACGATCAAGAGTAACTCTCGACCAGTCACGATGTTCCACATGCAAATTCATTAACACGGCCGTGGAAGTGGAGGCTCAGTGGTTAAGACGTTGGGTTACTGATCGGAAGGTCGTGAGTTCAAACCTCAGCACTGCCAAACTGCCACTGTTGGGCCCTTCAGCAAGGCCCTCAACTGCTCAGATGAATAAATGCAAGTCGCTTTGGATAAGGGAGTCTGCCAAAAATCCTGCAAATGTGAAAATCATAGGCTCTAAAGTGTCAGTTTTTGCCACTTGAGTATCATCACCATGACTTTCCTGCAAAATATCACTGGCTTTGCGTCAGAGGAACCAAGAGGAGACTGGCTGAATGTTTTGTCGAGCACCTCTGTAACATTAAAATAAAAGTTTTATCTTTTGTTGTTTTTATGGGAGGAAAAAAAAGTAAGGAATCCTGGAGAAAGAGCTCATCGACGATCTCGGACATTTGGAATCCCATGAAATGAATGACGTGTAGTGCTCAGATCAAACATCAGAATGGGGAAAATGTGATCTCAGAGGCGTTGACTGTGGTTTGGATGTCGGTTCCAGAGGGGCTGCTGAGTATTTCAGAAACTGCTTTGGGGATTTTTCATGCAAAATAGTTTCTAGAGTTTACACAGACTGGTGCAAAACCCAAAAAATGCCTCGTTGATGAGAACGCTCAGGGGAGAATGGCCAGATGTAACTCAAATGGCCAGTTTGGTGTGCTCTGTTTCTATCAGACAGGAAGGGCCTAGCATGTATGATGCATAATGAAGTGAAAAATAAGGCAACGAAGGCCCCGTACAGTTGGTCAGCTGAAGAAATGCATAATGGATGAATGGGGGAAAATTCCGCTCGCTGAACTTAATCAACTGGTGTCTTCAGTCAGCACCCAAATGCTTAATAAGTGTTATTAAAAGAAAAGGTGGTGTTACACAGTGCTAAACAGTCGACTGTCCCAACTTTTTTGGAGTGTGTTGCAGTCATCAAATTTAAAACGAATTGTAAATTCATAAATTGAATTGTACTTAGATGCCAAAGCTGATACAAAATCCAGACTAGTTAAAACACTTCAGAAATGTTTTCAGTGAGAATATACTTGGATTATAAATGATTAAAGGAGGAAAAAAAAAGCCATACGAGTTTGGAGAACTCAGAATATGTTGGAGACTTAGCAAATGTGAGAAGAGATTCTCTGGTCAGGTGGAACTTTTTGACCTTGGAAGAAAGGAAACCCAACACTGCTCCATACCCCGAGTAGACCATCCCAGTGAGGCACTGGAGCATGATGGTGGTAGTATCATGTTGTGAGGATGCTTGCCATCATCAGGGATGGGGAAATTGGTCAGGGTTGAGGGAAAGATGGATGGAACCAAATACAGCATACTGCTACTCTGGAGTGGTTCAAAACCAAAAACCTAAATCAGTCAAACGGCGCGTCAAAGCCCCTGACCTCAAACTGAATCGGAAATTCGCTGTTCACCAACCATCTCCATCGAATCTGACAGAGCTTGAGTAATTTTGCCAGGAAGAATGGGAAAAATACCAGGCTCCAGATGTAATGTACAAATCCGATAAACACTTGCAGATGTAACAACAGCCAAAGGTGGTTCTACGGAATAATGAATCAAGGGGGTGTGAACTTGCGCAAGCAACATATGTCTACTTTTTTGCTTAATTATCTGTGTCACAATAAAACAATTTTGCACCTCCAAATTTTAGACATATTGTCTAAATCAAACGGCAAAAATGCTGATCAAGTCCAGATGTGGAATAGTTCAAGACTGTATCATTCATGGCTTGACTGTTGCACTTCTGATTACTAGCACCAACCCTTGTGATTAATTTCTTCCTAAAACTATCCTGCACTTGTCTTTAATCAAATGGTAAAAAAATAAGTTCCATTGCACTTAGATAACTATTGTCCCCATCAGTGTGTAAATGCATGAACTGTGTGATCAACACATTTAAGACGCTTTGGGGAAAACAATGAATAAACTTGTGTGTGCATTAAACATCGCTCCAGAGTTATGACCGAGCAATAACAGTCGTCTAAGCTCTGGAAAATGTCAGACTGAATAATCTAGCAATATTATAAACTAATAAACATGTCTGCTCATTAAGGCTCTGTTTACCACTTAGTGTGTCTCGCTCGTATTGCAGAAGTACTCAACAATTATCTGCATTCAACCCGGAGCAATGACACTATAATTATAGCCATTTGCTAATTGAAGCTAATCACCCGCACATTCACGCATTTGAAGCAAGCCTGATCACCTGATCACTACTGTATGTGAGATAAGATTATACTGTGCATTGCAGACTCTATTAGTGAAGTGGGAAGGAAAAAGAAGGTGAAGGGAAGGGAAGAGAAGTGCGGGGAAGGGAAGAGAAGTGCGGGGAAGGGAAGAGAAGTGCGGGGAAGGGAAGAGAAGTGCGGGGAAGGGAAGAGAAGTGCGGGGAAGGGAAAAGAAGTGCGGGGAAGGGAAGGAATGGAAATGCAGGGAAGGGAAGTACAGATAAAGGCAAGGGAAGGGAAGGAAATGGAAATGCAGAGAAGGGAAGGAAATGGAAATGCAGGGAAGGGAAGTGCAGGGAAGGCAAGGCAAAACAAAGCAAGGGAAGGGAGGGTAAGGGAAAGCTAATTCCTCGGTAACTCAAGAGGCCTCAAGCAATCGATCATCTTTTTTCACAGATATTACAAATACCAAAGACATACAGGACAAAATTATTATGCAAACATCTTAGATTTTTGTCTAAACATATTTCTTAACTGTTTATTTCATTCATTTTGCAAATATAAAGCGGTATTGAGGGAGGGACTCTGGGGCCTGCAGTACCGGGAGTAAGTGTGAGCCGGAGTCTGCAGTTGCTGTAATTAGTCAGCTTATTTCCTTACCAAACTGGATACCTGAGAGAAATGGTGCCATTTTACAGGCAAAGGTTGGTCACACCAAATACTCATTCAGGTTTTGCCATTTATTGCTGTTTATAATACTATTATAAGTATTATAATACTTTTTTATATTTAGAAACGTTTCATTTCATTATTTTTGAAAGCATCTTTGCTTTATAGATTTTTTTTCCGCCTCAGGCAGTGCATAATACTGCATGTATATTATATACAGAAATATCAATATACAGTTTTTGCTTCCTACTGCAGTTCTTATAGCAAATTGTACTTTGTTGTAAACATTCTTCTCATTCCTGTGCACAAAAATGTGATGCAAGCTTAAACTTTTCTTTGCTACGCTCAAATTTGAAGTTGTGATTAATGCCTTTTTCACTCTTTGTGCACATATGCCATTTATATCAATACAAACTAAGTCCAAACACAAAAGAAACACACTTCATATTCCAAACTCTCCCATCTGCTACTCAGTGCAAGTCATCTGCGTTCCCTGAGCAGCACGTTTTAGTGATCAGATAAGAACTCCCACCCCCTTTTAGAATATTCCTTTCATGTTCCCGTTTTACATGTTCTAGAACACAGATCGATGAAGGGCACACGTCATTACGTCCCTGCGCCACGCCGACCGGCGTTCCCTCCAGAATTTCACGTATCGACACACAGTTCGTCTTCGTTATGGGACCGTATACAGTTTTGGGTGTTCCATTTTTTAATTTTACGAAAACTTCAGGTGCAGTTAATTATTTGTCATGCTATTCGTGCAAATAGACGACTGATTGAAGCCGTGGGCTGCGTCCCAAACCACATACGTACCTACTGTATAGTAGCCGAAATTATAGTCGGTAAATACGTGGTTTGGGACGCAGCCGTGCTCTCGTTTGTCGTCAAACGGTTGAACACTGCAGTGTGTGTACATGTCCTGTCACAAAATGCGGTGAAAACTCCCCCACGACGTTAATAGTGTGATTAAGGTGTGTACATGTCTATAATAGACGTCGAGAATGCAACTAACACAGGAATACTCCACATGACTTAATTCGAGTATGACTTTAATCGGATTAAGGTCATCATTAATCGCGGTTTACATGCTAGTTTCTTAATCGTCTTAATATCGGATTATTGTTGTCCATGTAAATGTACTACACTGTCTGCAGGGGTTTTAGTATTGCATGTCTGAAAATGTTATTGAACAAACATGTTATTCACTACCAGTCAGTGCTGTGCATCACATGTTCCTCAAGGTGTGTGTGTGTCCAAAAGAGAAATGCATACAAAATATAATAGACATTTATAATATATTTATAATATAAACGTGTTCCAAAGGTCACATTAATAACCATCAAAAAGATCTAACTCAAGTTGAGAAAAGAAGCTACCTACGACGGTAAAATACTCTTTGAACCAAAAAACAAAAACAACAAAAAAAAAAACGCTATGTGTACTGGGAGAACATGTGAAAAGCTACACAGACAGTGACCCGAGCGCAGGATCGAACCTGGGGGCCTTACTTCATCTTCAGTAACTGCTTGATCTTGGTCAGTATACCAGTGGGAGCTTATACCAGCGACACTGGCCCAAAGCAGGCATACACGTCTGTCTCTTTTACTCCACACTTCGCTTTTGATCCCTCGAGAACGAGACCATGCAAGCTTGGGTGCATTTGAAAATAGGTCGAGCGTGCAAAAAGTGGAGCTGAGAATCAATTTCCAAATGAATAATGGCAATCCTGTGATTGAATTGGACTGAACATCACTGCAACTGAAAATGACATCTATTCTTAAAATGTACTGACAGCAGCTTTATAGGCAATAGGACAGTGAGTGAATTTCCTCCTAGTGGGGAGCTTTCTTCCCTTCAAAGTAGTAGAGGCTACTCTCTTGCCATTGCAGCCTTCATTCCCTAAAGTGTTTCTGGGGCTCTGAATTCCCGTATAAAAGGTTGACCTAAAGGTGCTTTACGGGAGTTTGGCCATGCTGGTTTCATGATTCGTAAACCTGCACTCTTCTTTCTAGGACCTCTTAAGCAGCAGGCCCAATGAGCATCCCTGGCACATAGGATATGTTTTGCAGGATTGAATCATATGCCCAGCAAGGCAAGCTGTCCTAACCAGACTTACCATGTGCTTTAACCATTTGTAACCTGGAGAGTTCTAATGCTAGCAGTAGAACAAAAGAGGTAAAACCTCCTTAAACGCATTGAAACCTCATCCAACAAGTCACAAAA